CCCACCCATAGAGGTCGCCCGACGTCATCCGAGCAACTCTCCAGCTGCCAAGTCTAATTTTGTTGGTTTGCTTTCTTTGTTCATTCCTGATGTTTTTATGTCTGTTCCAGCGTAACAACACTTTCTCTGAATAGTGAAATCATTCCTTCACAGTATCTCTGGATAGCATCTGGCTCCCATCTCGCCCCGCAGGCTCTGTACTCGGTGTGTCAGAGGGGCAATGGCACAGAGAGGACTGGGGTGTCTCTTGAGCACTTGCCCTACAGAAGCTGCTGCATGCTTTTGTTCGTCTTATCACAACAGCACAGGAAGATGTTCACAGTTCCAAAAGGATAAGGAATAAATGGCTGGGGATGATGGTGCTGTCTGCTCATTTCACTCCCTTTCCCTCAGTTGTTATTAGACAAGTCAGATTGTGGCAAGCCACCATGCGCTCAGGTTCTTGAATTTAAGGGAATATTTTCTGCTGTTTAATACTTTCACTATAAAATGGATCAGATCCAGACTACTGCAAGATGGATTGTGTTTCTGCCACCCCACAACGTCCATATAACCACACTCTTGGCCCTCCCTGCCCTTAAGTAACTAATTGCTATGCAAAAAAAAAAAATCTATGGTTTTCATTTTCCACCTTTGATGCCACAGCATTGTTTTTTTTTTTTTCTAGTTGAGAGATTTCAATGTACCTGTTCGATTGTTACAGCAGTTAACCTAATCAAAAGCAGAATTGTTTTCTTTTTGTAAATAGTACCATTAAAACATTTATGTTTAACTTGGTGTGACTGTCATGGCCTCAAGTCCTTCAGAGTGAGAACTGTCCAAAGTCGCTCCCTCACGTTACACAAATGCGATTCATTGAGTTGAGGGAACATGACAATTTGAGAACGTTTATGCAAAATGGACACACAAAACAGCTGACAGTAAATCTCACACACTAGGTGATCAGGAGGGAGCGATTTCAGACTTGGCACTCACATTGCAATCCTTCACAACAACAGTGACTTCATAGCATTTATTTTCAAATACACATACAGCAACAAGTCATCATAAACCAGTTATTGATAAAATGCACAATAACGAGAACAATCACATTTCCACGACTGTACAGTGTCAGAAGTAACCAGAAGGGTGATGAGTTTTTGTTACTGCAGAAATCTCCGGTCCAGAGGAACACAGAGAGGACCACTGAAACACACACACGCTGTAGCGCACACTTGGGAACAACTCCCACCCTTAGCACTCGTGTCTGCCCTGGAAGAAAAAACCAAGAATTGACTGGAGCATGCAGACAAAGTGGCAAGCAATTCTCTGTGACCACAGAGAAAAAAATACTGTTGTACATCTCTCCGAGTGAAGGTTAGCACCACACACATTTTAGTCAGGATCTTCTCCCACGTACAGATATAAACAGGAACCAAAGAGACCACTTTGAAAAGGGGGCAACATGAGGTGCATGCCAGAAGTCGGTTCCCTCATACTAAAGCGAGTAATAGTGATGAATCACTGGGAATACTGATAACCATTGGGACGTCTTCAAACATGGGGTCTGAGTGTGGTTTTCAGGGAACATGTTTACACGGAGGAAACTGTTGCATTCACTTCATTCCAGTACAAAACCAATGTCAAAATGAAAAGCTCAAAAAGTTTTAAATCTTTTCTAATCTTGCTCAGTATGAATTAGACTACACCGTATGACCAAAAGTATGTAGACACTCAAATCTGTGGCAGCGCTTTGTGTCTGAAGATTAATTATCTGAGCAGGTCTGCGTTTCCCTCCTCTGTTTTTCTAAGGTGATATTCTGGGTTTTTGAACAAAAAACCCTGAAAAGGGACAAGTGGGACAGAACTTTGTAAAGAGTCAACCTGTCTCAGACTGACCAGGATATGTATAAGATAAAATCATTCCTCAGGCTTCGCTTTGGGTTTTACTAGTTCTACACATTCCTACAGCAAAGGCCCATAGAGAGGTGTTTTTCCAGCCTGACTGGTAAATGGTCTTATACTTGTATAGCGCCTTTCTATGCTTTTACAGCACATTCAAAGCGCTTTCACATTATTCGGCCATTCACCCATTCGCACTCCCAAGCACTCACACATTCACACACCGGTGACATCACCGGGAGCAACTGGGGGTTCAGTGTCTTGCTCAAGGACACCTCGACATGTTGACTGGACAAGCCGGGAATCGAACCGCTAATACTCCAGTTAGGAAACAACCCGCTCTACCTCCTGAGCCACAGCCGCCCCTGACTGGTCTGCACACAGCCCTGAACTCCATCCAACACTGTGATCCAGGCCTCATCACCTGACACCAATGTCCCCTGCAGCAGGTTCATGATCTGGTGGAAAGTCTGAGGCTGTTATAGCAGCACAGTAACGCCCACCGTTTTGGATTGAGATGCTCAAAATGTCACAGTGGTGCTACATTTAGGTGTCCACATATTTTTGGTCATGTAGTATAGTTTGCAACTTTCCAAGGAACTAGAAGTTTCAACACAATCAGCTGCTAAGTCCCGTGTCTCAGCTACAGATTTACTGCCAGAGCTAATGGATGCATCACTGTGCGGCTTCTCGCTGCATGCCAGATCCCTCATCTCAGCTCTACCCAATCAGCTGGGCACCATTCATCTGTCTGTTCTGCAACACAAACATGTTCAATCCTGCTGAGCACACTGTAAAATACTTGTTTTTCCAGCCTTTAAAGAGACTAAGCAACTTGTGAGTGAAGAAACAAAATGAACATCCTTCAGCCTCATATCACTGTTCAGTAACTACGATTCTTGCTACAGCTCAGTATTTAGCTTGTGGTAGCATCTGTTCAGCAGAAGTTACACAGTCTGACTGGAACACTTGTATTTTCAGTACCAACTATTCTGCCTACCTGCAAGTGCATCTTACAGCAGCTTAAACACTGAACGGCTGTTTCTCTTCATAATTTGGCCCAAGTTACACTTTAAATGCCTTAAGGTAAATTTTCCTCCTCATACATCTGTAGCTGTAGCGCATTTACAATAGAGCAGTAACAAAACTCAACACTGACAGCAGCAGGCACAATACAAATGTTTCTTCATATCAAATACATGTCATATATCCACAGAATACAATTATAAAACTGTGCCCAACACAAACCGATGTTTCTACTCTAGCTCTTCTTTTTTTTTTTTTTCTTCTGAACCCAGTTAGGCCCGTCACCGCCGGTGCAGCAGCTTGAGGCGCAGGACACATCGGGACTACACAAAGCAAAAACAGCAGTGAGGTCCGTTCACATTTTTCTGCCTTGAGGAGAGATTTGCTACTTTTCTTTGAACAGTCTTCCTCACTACACCCTACAACCGTTCCTTAAACCGAACCCCAACCACCTGCACTCCCTTCTAGTTTACAAGTCAATTTATATCAAAACAAAACCCACCAGGGGACACTCATGACAGGGGACACTGAAAACGCAACTGCCTAAAAGGTTTAAAGTCAGTGTGACAGAAAACCAAGTCTTCAATATGGTTGGATTTATAAGGATGTGGATAATTCCTCAGATTCACAAGGAGAATTTTTCTCTGCTGAGTGCTTTAACTCTTAAAGGGACACTTACAAAAGGTAGAAATAATAGCAAATAAAGAGCTCAAAGACCACAGAGAGAAATGAAATACATGTTGGCCTACATGTTAATCCGCATTTTGCCTCAAGACGTCTACTAGTAATGCCTCAAGAACAATTTCAAAGGTTAGTGATGGATAAACAGTGACAGGAAGCTAAAAAAGTCCCATGAAAGTAACGAGGACGGCGTCACAACTCCTCTACGGGGTCGTGTGTTTGAGGTGCAGGTGACATGGGTGCATTCACAAGCCTTGTTTGGCCAGAGAGGCGGACACCTGGTCGGCCAGCGTGGACAGCTGTGGGGATTCGGCCATGTTGATGCTGCCGGAGGAGGACACGGTGCTGAGCTGGTGGGGGGAGTCTTCCAAAGACACAATCTCAGCGCCGTGGTCAGTGCGGGCCTTGGCCGTCTCACGGAAGTTCAGTTTGTGGCTCTCGATCTGTGGCGAGATGACAGCTGAAGGTCACACACAGCAGCAAGGAAGTCAAAGTGCCAGTATGATGGTGGAAGAATACTCCACTGCCAGTGAAAGTACTGCATCCATAAGTGTATTACAAGCTACAGTAGGTAACTTAAGGTATCTCCCTGCATCCCTGCTCTACTAGGACCTGCTATGTTCCGTCACGCTCTTCTGATTTGTTATGAAACTACAAGAAATGAGAAAGCAACAAAACTCACTAATGAAGCAGAAATAACTGAAAACCTGATTGATCAGAGAGGTCAATCCTGCTCAAAACCTTCTAGAAGCTGATTTATCTGCACTGCTGCTGGTGCTGGTCAGTGAGTCTGGGTCACAGGAGGCTTCGACAGCTCCTCTCCACATTAAGAACATTTGTACAACAAAAATATATGAAAAAGAAGTTACATACTGCAGCTTTAACAAAAAGTCCAAATGTAATAAAAAGTATCACTGTGACTGATAAATGACCCTAACCTATGCTACATCATTAGATTATTACTTTATTTACAGTTCATAAAATAAATCTGAGGGATCATAAGACGATAACTGGAGGTAAGAAAGAAATTTAAATGAAACCATCTGAGGCGTTTGAGGGGCAATGCCCCAACGGAGGGACCACAAACCAGAGCGCACGCCTTTACTGAGGGAGGGTTGTACTGTGTCAGATCAGTGTGGCGGAGAAGTAGAATTAAGTAGCATAAAATGAAAATACTCAACTAAAGTGACCTGTAAAATGTATCTGAGTAAATGTATTCAGTTACTTTCCACCAGCACACTGGAGGACGGAAGTAAGAAACCGTTTGGGATGATTAATGTAACAGCTGTATTTTCCTCAGTGACTGAGACAGGGAGGAGCAGGGCGCCCTCTGGTGGGCATCGGCATGTACATCAATATGAACAGGACTAGCATCAAGTCTCCTAAACCCCCAGGTTCACTGTCCGTCACTGGGTTTTTGGTCAGCTGTTAGATGACACCTTCACATTCTATCAGTTTTATTGTGAGTGAAAAGGTTTTGGTTGGTGTGCAGGGTTTACCAAATTAAATTCGAGGCTTTTAAGACCTTCAATACTGCACACAAGGCAATGTTTTACAGTCAAACAGAGCAAAGTGAAACAAAACTATGTGGGATGAAGTTCAAGTGTCTCAATAAATCTCTCTTTTAGAGTTTCCACCCGACTGTTGCACCAAATATCCACTGACAACATGACTAACACCGGGTAGGAGACAGCTGTTGTAGAGAAGCACACAGCTGGTGAGTACTTACAGGAGTCCTCAGTCTTTCTGAGGGGGCTCGTCAGGGTGGGTGTGTCAGGTGCTGAGGGGACAGTCTGAGGTGACTGAGGAGGGGTGACAGCGGGGGAGGGGACTGAGGGGCTGTCTGAGGTGCTGCCCTCGGCTTCCTTCCCCTTCTCCCTCTACAGAGGGATGAACAAAACATGCAACAAAAATACACGGGATGGCATATCAACAGAAATCACAAGGCAACACAATATATGAAAAACCAAATGAATTCAGCTGAATGACCAGGAACAGAAGATAATGAGAAGAATGGACAAGTGATGATGAACTGAAAACCAGTTGGGTGGAGAAGATGAAAGTGTCTTGTACAAAAGTAATAATGACAAACCCAGGAGAAGGAAGGATGAGAAGTGAATGAGTGGGGCGTGAGAGGAGGCAGTCGGAGCCGCCCAGCAGCACCAGCACTGGACACAAGTGGCCGTTTTTGTGTCTGTAACATCAGCGTTGGTCCGTTTATGCTTCAACTTTTACATCTAAGATCAATGTGCTGTTTTGTGCTTTAGAAAAAGTCCTGACAAAGTCTCAGTGTAAAACCAAGACTGTTTAAGAACAAAACCCGGCTCATGAAGCGTTACAGCTTTAGAGTGCGCTGACAGGGCTCAGAATCAGATCTGAGAGCGTGTTCGCGGCCATGCCCGTGCTCATGTCCGAGTCTGCACTCTCAGATTTCTCCACTGGGGTTTTGTGTCAAAGTCTGTCGGAACCAAAAGCTTCTAAAAAACACACAAAACACGTTTTGAGCTCTCTTCCGTTTGCAAATCAGGGTTTGAGAGCGAGGGAGCACAAAATCATGAGCGGGCAAGCAGGGATTCTCCCTCACCGTCGAATCCGTGCAAACTGAAAAGAGCTAAAAACGTCTTTTGTGTTTTTAAACCCTTTGGCATCGACAGACCTTCACACAAAACCCAGTGGAGAAATCTGAGTGATCAGACTCAAAGATAAGAGTGGCCAGGAACACGCTCTCAGATCTGATTGTGCACTTACTAATCTGTGCGCCCTCAAACATTTTAGTGGGGATTTGCTTCCATATGATCGCGTCACATCCTGCCTCCCCAGCCCTACCTTTCTCTGTCCGCCTCCAGGGACATGGCCAATGTTGCCCAGAGAGCCGACCTTGGACTGACCTCTGAACTCCAGCTTCTCACTTTTGATCTCGACATTTCCACCACCTAATGGAAATAGAAATTAGCACCATTATTATAAAGTTTACAAATATAGAGGTATACACAGATAGTATGTCAGACACAGCAAATACACAAGTATTATTAAAAAAAGCAGCAGTCAACAAATAAACAGAAAGGCCAGTAAGCACAAGACCAGTCCAGAGAACTTTTCATTAAAAGTACTAATGCAACCACGTAAAAACTCAGCATTACAAGTAAAAGATCTGCTTTCAAAATCCTACTTTCAGTAAGTACAAAAGTATTATCAGCAACATGTATTTAAATTATCAAAAGTACTTGGTACACAGAAAAATTATGCTACAAGTTCTGTGAATCATTGCTTTTCACAGACAGTAAACATGATATTTCACCTGGTTTATGGTGAATGTTGTCTTTGGATCCACATTTAGATGTGACGTTGCTCAGGTCAATCTTTTTGTGCACAATTTGGATCTGAAACCAAACAGAGCAGAAAAACGGTTTCATCAGCACCGACCACGTCATCCTGCTCACTGGCCGGTTAGTCTACAGCTGGTACCAGGAAGGGAAACACTAACAGCGACTAATTACACACTAATGTGCTGTTTTTGCACCTGTGAGCATTAAAAACTTGGCACTTGAATACAAAAAAAATTTAAAAAAGCAAACAAATGATCAAGTTTCATGTTAGGAAGTATCAAGTTAATCGATCATATTCTGCATTTTTCACCACACAGTACTCATGTTATGAGGTGAAGCCGTAGTTTTCAGCCATGCATGACCTCATCTCAGGCTCTCCTGTGTGGAAACACAAAGGGCTCAGTCTCCCTCCGCTGAGGTCATCTCACGACAACAGGAACAGTTCAGTGGAGAGGTCGAGGACAGAGACTCGTTGTTTCTGTGGAGGGGCTCCAATCATGCATTTTTATAAGTTTCATGCATTTTCTCATCATAAACATCTGATGTAGTGATTTCGGCTCAGATGAGTTGGAATAAAAACATCCACACAGATTCACTCGTGTTAGTGAAGGAGCCAGTTTGAGGTTCTGAACCGACAAGCACAGACTCGGATTAGGCCGTGAGCATTACACACCACCATCAGCTGTGACAGCAGAGCCACTGTCAGCACAACCAGTGATGTCTACAAGCGAAAATCTAGGATGGAAGCCGGCAAATACAAACGGTTCTAAATCCACAGTTTAGTGATATTCTAGATGCCAACATGAAACGCTCATGACTGTCTAATGATAAAGCTGTTAATAGGAGACGTTATCAGGTGGGGAGCTAGGAGGTCAGAACGACGTGCATGTCCTTTGTCAAGATGAAGCAAGAACAAGTGGTTTTGGCTACACACAGGGCAGTCCCTTATTGATCTACTCACATTGCCACCACCGGGTACATGTTTTATATTGTCTTTGGAGCCGCACCGGGACTGCACATTGCTCATGTCCAACTTCTCATTAAGAATTTGTACCTGGAGAGTCGATATGTGGGGAAAGAAGACCGTTATCCCGGAGCCACTGCAGGAGGAACGAATCTGAGGCTCAAGGGAGCGAGAGCTAACCAGGAAACGTGGCTGAGTGACGATGACAAAGAAGGGTTTCATCTGTTTTTAACAGGCGTTAGTGTGATGATCATAACTGCACAGATACACAAGGCTCCTATGATGAGGAGATTCTTTAGTTCCAGAAGTAGCCCATCCATGATGTATACTGTTTATAAACAGCATAAAATATCTTCACCTACTGTTCATGAAAAGATTCAGCAAGTTACACTGTGAGCTACACCTGTTTTAGCCTATATTTGTTTACATTTAGGAAAATTAAGTGCAATTAATTAGCTATCAGCTGCTGCCGTTTGCTACGGCCCACAGAGCTGCTGGCAACTACAAATGGTTTACTTTGATAGTGAAGAAGACAAAGAACCTGTTGACTCTCAGGAGACATCTGAAGTGGTTGTGGCAGCTCGTGGAATTAAGGCATTTCAATAAACAAAAGAAATTAAATCATAACTCAGTCAAATCTGAGTATGACAGGATACACGCATCATCTTCAATAACCACAGCGAATAAACAGCCAAAGAGCATAAAAGATGCTTCTGAAGGTGTCAGTTTGGCCAAAGTATAAACAAATGAGCACATTGTAGCCCTCAAACTACAGGAGCTGCAGTTCCAGACATGAGCGCCTGGGAATCCCAGCAATGGGAGTAAACCCCAGACTAACAAGAGGAGCTTTAAAAACCATAATGTAATGTTTTCATGTTGCACTACCCATATATTGTTGACATTGCTGAGCCACAGGTGTCTGACAGGGGGCCCACTGTGCTACCAAACTGGACCAATTCAAGATTCTGAAAGTGTCAGACCTCAAGTCCAAAAGTTGGTTCTGAACAGCCTGGTGCTGAGTTCATCCCTCAGTTACTTACATTGCCGCCACCGGGTACATGTTTGATATTGTCTGTGGAGCCGCACTTAGACTGGACATTACTATAGTCCACCTTCTGATCAAGGATTTTAACCTGGAAAAGTGCAGAAGTGAGTGGAACACACCGTTACCTTAGAGTCACTGAGAGCAGGTGAAGAGTGAGACCGGCAAACTGTGACACTAGGTCAGCCTTGTATTCATAATATAGTAGGCGATACAGTAGGACTCTTTCCTCTACTTGTGGCAGAAGCATCATGCAGATGAGCTTCACTTTAAGGCCAATTATTTCACAGGTGAAAACCAAACATGAGACGCATTTGATTTCTCACCTTGCCTCCACCAGGCGTGTGCTTTATGTTGTCTTTAGAACCACAGCGAGCCTGGACGTTAGTCAGGTCCAGTTTCTTGTCCAGGATTTGGACCTGCACAGTGTGAGAAGACAAATAAAATTCTTCAGAAATGAGACTGAGAATGGCTGCAGGAGGAGATCAGGCCAGAAGGAGGAAAGAGGTAAAAGGGATAAAAACTCATTTTATTAAAAGCTGCCATTCAAAATGCTGTTTGTGTCTCACACCTGCTGCTTTAACCACTACTACTAGACATGAGGTAGCCAGTACAGTACGAAACTACTAGAGAATTCTACTGGCTTTAGTGCATGAAAATATAAATACTGTGCAAAATATGAGACTTGTAGTCCACTGGCTCTGTTCTGATCAGATGTTATTGGCACTGTCGACCTAATTTCTATATACTTTTTCCACACATGGTAAATCTGTTTTTCACCACAAAAACATTTCTGAAAATATATAAATAGAATAGCTAATAAAATGTTACAGATGCCAGCTTTAATGCATTAATGTAACAGGCTGATGGCTAAGTGCATCTTTAGGTCTTATAATTATACTGCATTTTGTATTAATCTGGTTCTGAAAAGTAACTAAAGTTATAAAATAAATGCAGTGGAGTAAAAAGTACAATACTTGTCTCTAAAATGTGGTGAAGCCAAAGTAGTGAAGTAGCAGAGAACGCAATACCTCAAAATTGTACTTAAATACAGTACTTACTTTCCACCACTGTTTAGAACAAATCTAAAAAAATGCTATTAATCGCGCGTTAACTATGGATAATCATGTCATTAATCGCGACTAGACCTTTTAACCGATTGATAGCACTACTCATTAGTGAGTACTGAGCAGACTGAGACTGTACAGACTCCATCCAAGTCCATCTTCAGATCATTAACATGTAGAGCACAAACAAGAAAGCACCTGCTTTTTACCAAATCTTGGTTCTGATGATCATAACTGTAGAGATACTCAAGAGTCTGGGGTTGAGTTCATCCCTCAGTTACTCACATTGCCGCCACCGGGTACATGTTTGATATTGCCTTTGGACCCGCACTTAGACTGGACATTACTATAGTCCACCTTCTGATCAAGGACTTGTACCTGAAAAAACGAAAACGTCAGCTTTTAGATTTTGAGTGTAGATGATGGTTTGACACATGAGCTGCGAAGCCTACTGGCCAACTCTTGTTGCTTTGTGTAGCCACATGCAGTTTAAGTGAAGTAGTGAAACTGGCCTTGTATAAACTGTGCACTGGTGGTGAAACTGTGTGTGTGTTTATTCCTCTCATTTCCTTTACCAGTCAAACATTGACCAGGAGAACTGACAGGACCAAACACAGGAGGGTAACATGCAAACGTTGTTCTCAACACACACACACACACACACACACACACACACACACACACACACACACACAGAGAGAGAGAGATGTAGTCAGACTTGTACTTAAAACACAAAGAGGCAGATCGAAGGTTTGGTAAAAAAAAAAAAAAAAAAAAACTGTCAGAAGCTCTGGAAGCAGAAGCATTCTGGTTGGCTGATTCAGTGGGTGGAGCCACAGACACAAGTGTGGCAGATCAACAACAAAGCTTATGTGAAACAGGTAAAAGAAGTAGGTGAAATGTTGAAAACCGGCCATGTTAAAGGTTCATTCTGGATTTTTACAACTTGACTCTTGGTTGACCATCCATCCATTTCCTACCACTCCTCTGGGATGTTCTCCAGCTCCTCCTGGGGGACCCCGAAGCATTCCCAGGCCAGATGAGATATACAACTTCTCAATAAACCACAAAGTGTCCTGATCAGATGCCTGAACCACCTCAGCTGCTTTCAGCGTGAAGGAGCAGCTCTACTCCAAGCTGCCTCCAGATGATATTTAGGTTTGTTTGGTCATTAGTTTTACCGAAATATACTCACTAAAAGCAGAGCTCTGGAAAGACGATCAATGTGCAAGAATCCAGAGCAGGCAGGTTTTCAGAGAGGTTGTAAACAAGCAGAACGTTTATCTAAACAGGCTTGTAATAAAAATCCTGTTTTATCCTACACGTTGTTTCATATCAGATGCCTTTCACTAGGAAATATCAAAACCTGTGGTGTGGTGCAGGAATACACAGTGTTTCTGTCTCCACAGCTGTTTGCATAAATAGAGCTGAAACTCAAGCATGCTCCTCCTGTCCTGTGTGACATGAAGACGTGCAGACTGAGACAACACAGACTATGTAAAAGCTCCTTCTGCACACAGCAGTAGAGCCTCGGACTACAACAGGTGTGTTCAGTGCGACAGTCAGAGTCAGGCTACCTTTCCACCTCCAGGCTGGTGTTTGATGTTGTCTGTGGAGCCGATTTTGGACTTGATGTTCTTCAGGTCCGGCATCGGTGCCGCGGCGGCCAGAGGAGCCGGCGAGCGGCTCTTCAGCGAACCTGGCGATTTGGGTGTAGAACGCACCACCGCCACCTTCTTCACTTTGTTGGCCTCAGCTGCCGACTTTGCAGAAAGTGCTTGGCTACCGGGGGATTTGGGGGTTCCAGGGCTGCTCTGTCCACTCATGGCATCTTAAGCAATCAGAGAAACAATAGGTCAGAGGGTTTAAACACATCAGTGGCCATGGAATAAAAGAATAAAGAAATAATAAATCAGAAAATAAACTGGGTGCTATCTTGGCAAATAGTGGACCAAGGTTGATCCAGATTAGATCGTGGCACTGTGGCCACGCGAGGCTGAGAGTGAGCTCTAATTAGCTGTCCTTTTTATTTTGTTTTACCTTTGTCATTTTTTGGAGTGGGAGGTTTCTTGGCACTAGCTGTATCACAAAGAATATGACACATAAGTAATCTTTAAATCTTATATAAAAGACAGAAATCAAAATGAAAAGAATTCAGATGAAATGTCAAGATTTTATTTTGTACCTGGTTGAGCTGCAGTTCTTGCAGAAGTCTTTGCTCCTGAGGTTTGAGATTTTGCACCCTGAAAATGAACAAAACAGAAATTTAAGCTTGTTTTCAGTAGAAATATTTGCATTCAAAGTCAAGGTGGATCAGGAATCAAAAAGCATTTCAAAAATCTGAGCGGATTAGAAACTGTCTGGACAACCTCCTTATTCGTTAGCATGTCCCTGACAAGATTCAATCAGTCAAGGACACCAATCACCACTCCACCCATGAAGCTTAAACTCTGAGCTTCACTCAGACCTGTACTTACTCCAGGCTGCCTGGGCCCTTTGCTGCTGGCTTTAATAGGGATCGAGCTGTGGCTGTTTCGGGAGGAAGGTCTTTTAGGGGAAGAGGTTGGTTTGGTGGCAGTTTGAGTCTTTCTCATGAAGAGGGAAAATGAATGAAAAACAAAAGTTCCAATGACAATAAAACAAAACAATGAAAAAATGATGGAAAAGAATGAAATCATCTCATGGGTGTGATGTTAAAGGATCATCCTGGTTTATTACATCTCAGGTCTTATTTTGGCAAAAGGCCAAAACTTAACCTGGACTCTGGTCTGTCAGCTGTGGTGGATGTCTACAGCAAACACTTTGGGTAATAATTTTACCACTTGTTTTCATTTGTTCTTCTTAATGTTATTTAAAAGCAGCGACTGCTCGTGTTCGTCGTCCTGATACATTTTTATAAATGTGGATGGAAAAAGAAAACAAGTTCTTAGTTTCACTAAACTAGAATTATCCTTTAACAGTGTAGTGACAGAAGAAATGAGACAACACAATGTCTTGCTGACATACCTTCTCCACGGAGCCGTTGTCCAACTTTGCTTGAGCTACAGAAAGGAGAGAGAAACAATTTCTTGACCATATCCACTCAGCTAAGACTCTGTGCCTGTCTACATTCACATGGCAAAAAACCCCCAAAAAAACAAAGACGTGAAACCGGTGATGTAGGGTATGCAGCATGCAATGTGCCACATGATGTACACATCGTGCACGTGGAAACCGCAGAGAGGCTTTTCAGGCTGCATAACCAGCAGAGTGATCAGAGATGCAGAGATTAAACATAAAACTAAAGTGGGGAGGGAGGGCAACGAGCTGTTCCTTGGGTCAAAGTTAACATCCAGAGAAAGGATTCGGAGGGAGAGTGCTGCATAACAGACAGTAGAAGCTGCGCTGGAAATCAAAGTGGAAGGAATTAACGAAAGAGGACTGGTTCTGAACTGGTGAACATGACAGCAAACAGACCTTTGAAAATAGCGACGGGCACCAAAGACTTTCTGGCTGCAGAGGTTTGGGGGGTGGGCAGAGCCACACTGCTCCTTATCTCTGACTCATTAGAAATGTCAGGCTTTGAATAGGCGGCACTGAATAACAATGAGTCACTGCTGCTGTTTTCAGCTGCCATGTCAGGGGACAGTTTGGTTAAAAGGCCGCCTTTCTTGAAAATGTTCTGGCTGCTTTCTGGGTGCAGATCTTCTGCATGAGAATCGAAGATAGATTGTGACAGACTTTGGGTCTGAGGGGTCTGCTGGGTTTCTGGATTGATCTTGTTGCTTCCAGAGTCCCTGCAAGACTTTAAAGCTGCTCCATTTGTTCGTTCAGAGATGAGCTCCTCTCCCAGATCAGTCCACGAGTTTCTGTCTCCGATGGATGTCAGATCTTCCAAAGCTGTGCTCCGGACTAAACACGTTCCAGCCAGGTTGCTCACTTCGGCCAGGCACTCGGCCGCGTCGAGGCTGCTCGCCCTCTGAGCATCCACAGTGCCGCTCCACTCTGGGCTCCCCCTCCTGGCCTGCACATCCCGTCTAACCTCTGAGCTGCAGCTGAGGTCTTCAGAGGCCCATGACGAGTCACTGAGCCTCTTCCCACTCTCTCCAGCTGCATTGTTTCCCGGGTCCTGGGAGCAGGGAGCTCCCATGAAGTCACCGCCCTCCCCAGCAGACTTTGATCCGTCGCCCACTAACATGAACTCACTGCGGACTCCAGTAGCAGGTTTTTGTTAATGTTTTTTGGCAAGCAGAGTAACGATGACATTCAAACCACTTGTTTGCCACCTCCCCATTGAAACAAAAAATACAGAAGTGAACACAACTGGGAATTTGATGTTCAAAATGAAATCAAATTCTCTTGTATATAATTAACCAGAAAATAAAAGGAGATTTACAAAGGTGACAATGCAAGACCTGTGAACTAAAAGTGATTAATGGTGGTTGGTTTGTAAAGAAAATACCTGACTCCACATCAAAAACTGAGATGGACATGAGCAGTAACTCATCACACTGGGGCGACAGACAGATGATGCATTCCAGTGAACACAACGAATGACAAACCACTAAAATATGCATTTTCAAAAAATAAGTGATCAAAATGTAACAGTTTCTTGAACCACTTCACAGTAATGCACTCTCCAGGATAAAAAAAAAAAAAAAAAACATAAACCAAAAAACCTCACCTCTAAACAGTTTTTGCAGTGACAAAGAAAAACACTAGAGAGCTATAAAAAGTGTATGTGTGCAGTATGGAGACTGGAGTGCCATCATTCATTAATGTAGTATTTATTAGTATTTAAACCAAACAAACTATTTAAAAAGCTGTTAAGGGAGAACAGCGCGTGCCCCTCTGGGTTACTATTTGTCCACCTGGAGCTGTACTGTAAGTGTATTCATATCTATCTGCTGTAGTTAATAAATACAGTCTGAGTGCGATCAATACAACATAAAAACGGCCTACCTGTTGACGCTGGTCCTCCTGCTGCTGATTGAGCATGAGAAGACAGATAGAAAGACATGAGAGCATGATCAGTAATGAGTTTGTCATTCACGACTGATTAACAGGCTCACTCGCTGAAACCAATACAAAGCCCAAATGACCCGAGTTAGTGCGGAAAGCCCACAGCAAATAACAGACATATCATTTCAAATCATAAGGCTCACTATGCAAAAGGTATAGAGCGAAGGCCGTGCACAATGCAGTAGGAGCACACCTATACTGGTGCTCCATGTGCTCAGCCGTTCTGAACGATACTCTGGCATTTTCCACGGCTGAGAAGTGCATCTGTTTAACAGATCACATGAGTCTTACTGGGCCTGTTGTTTGGCAATTCCTTTCATTCTGAAACAGCATGTAACCATCTTTGTGTTAAAAAAAAGACATTTGCCCCTGAAGTCTGCTTATGATCATGTTGCAGCTCTGAAAGGAGCAGAGTATTAACCATCAAAGCAAGCATAAGGAACTGAATGAAGGCAAGAAAAAAGAAAACCCCTGAACACACTTTTTTCCCCAATCAAGACGCTGAAAGAAAAAGGATCAGGACCTACAAGAGCAGCACACTGCTTTGGTTATAACACTTAGAGTAGTAGTGTGACATTTTGGAGAACGTGCCACTCTCATGTCTCCAGTTAGCAGCCAGTTAGCTTAGCACAAAGACAGGAAGCCAGGGGACGCAGCTAGCCTGACTAAAGTGCTCCAGTTAACATGTTACAGCTTGTCTGTTTAATTTGTACAAACACCAAAGTGTAAAATGACAATTTATGATTTTAGGAAGTTATTACTCTCTGACAGGAATTTAATTATCTGTGAGAGCAATTTACTATAAACATCTAATCTCTCTCTACATATTACTCATTAAAAAGTATTTACATTACTAATTACACAACAGCAAAAACATTTATTTTCATTACTTTACTGTTGTTACAGTGAGCAACTTGTTAAAAAATGCCTTTAAAATGTCATATTTTCCATTTAACATGAGCAAACAAAATAAGACATCATGGTTTAACAACCTGCAAGCCTGTGTTCTGATAGCTAGTCTAAACATCACCCCCTTGGTGGCCATAGACAGTACTACTGAATACAACAGTAGCTAGTGTCAGCTAAAAAATGTAAGCAAAAAGCAAAAAAAAAGTGTGTGTGTCCCCAAAAAAAATCAATCCATACTTTTAAAGATGCCAGGAACATAAAGTAATGCACAAGCAGCTGAAATAAGGCAAGCACTCAAAGACAGGAGGTATACCAAGCTGCTGCTCATCTTCACATGAGGTGCTCTCTCTTTCTGAGAGCTCAGAAACACCCTCAGCACCGTCTTTGTCTGCAGACATCTCTGCTGTGGGGTAGATAGAGGTCAGTCAGTCAGAAACAGGCAAGGCAGTTAAATACAAATCTGACACTTTCTTCAAGTTCACCCAGCTGAATCTGCTCTGCTCCTGAGCTCGTGTTTGCTGTGGTACGTCTCATGCAGTTTAATGGATCAAGGAGCCTCTTCGACCTGGTGACCCGCCGTTGTGCTACACTGTGGACAGGCTGTCCATCTCAGTATGAATGATCAAAGCAGGCTTGACCCAGACTGTGGAGCTACCGATTCTTGCAGGCGCATGAGGGCATTATGTTCCACGTGAGTCAGCGACTCTACATGTTCACTGGTAACAGGCTCTTATTGCGCTCAGTCTGTGCCACCAGTGGGTTATAAATATCAGGCAAATGAGCAGGTTTAAAGTACATTAGCATACAAGCAGGAAAACCCATGTTTAAAATCAAGGCAGGTCAGAGAGGGAGGCTGAAAATGATGACAACTGTGTGGTAGAAGGAAACCAACAAGCAGAGATCAATGTTTCTCAGATTATATTGATGGAAAAAAGAAAATGTTCTTTAGAAAAGAGACAGCGGTGGAATAATTATGCTTCCAAACTACAGTATGTTCATGTGTTGTCAAACTGATGAATATGTTTTGAAACTGTACTGAGCTCTAAGGGCCTGTGCAACAATGCCTGAAATGTTGGCAAATTTTAAGTTTAATCATCCAGAGACAACCTGCTTATCCTGGACCCTGGTTAATTCCTAATTAGTAAATGTTTTAGACTCCAAAGCCCAGAAATAACCAAATGAAACCGTGACAACCTGTCTTCACACTACAAATACCAGAAAGTCACCATTTCTACTTGTTGTCTTCTATTCAAACAGGACAGTGAGATACTCGCTCGGTGTTTCGCCATTGACCGATGAGCTGTTTAGCTCTGCAGATGACCCCGTCAGATTTTTCAAGTGCTGCTTCCTGTTGGCGCGGGAGATGGAGACAACTGCACTAGTGACGGCTGTAAAGTGGGGAAAGCTCAGCTATGTACTAACTGGCTATATGGTTAATTGGAATAATGAGGAGGAAAACACCTTGCTGAAAGGCCTGAACCTCTTTAGCTACAAGCTGAACAGTCTGTCAGGACTGTGGCTATTCACTTTACAAACTCCAACCAACCGGCCACTTTCCTATGCCAGTTATTTGCTGTTTTCACATTAATGACCCTTTCAGTTACCAAATGCCCTCCTTAAAGAGCTGGTATTATGGCCCTTTTGACCAAGTTTCACAAATATTGTATTTTAATCATTTTATTCAGCCATAGTTTGGTTAGATTTCTCTAAATCCATCTGTACAAACAGCCCAGCTTCCCGTCTGTCCTCCAGCAGTCTATTTCAGAAGTCCATTAACATAAAATGTAGATTATTCACAAACACCAACTCTGAATGTTTGGAGGCGATGACTCATCTTCACCCCCAGCCAATCAGAATAGAATCTTACAGTCACTGTCCCTCTTTACCTGGTTCAACAGCTGCAGCTGGAAACAAACAAACAGTCTATAGAGATATCTGAACCACATTCTGATCCTGAATAGGAAGGAGAGGAACCAGACTGGAGACTTCTGCCGGATGTTTCAGAATGGTGTGTTTAACTTTCCTCATTTCTCCAAACGCAGCGGGAGGCAGCTAGCTTTAGTTGTCTGCAGCTGCAGTCAGGGAATCGGGGCCAGTCATGTCTTGTATCGATTATTTAAGAAGGGACTGAAATAAAGCACAGCTGAAGCTTCAGGTCCCGGCCTCTGGCCTGACTCCATATACACCAGTGACTTTTAGGAAACTGTACATAGAAATTGACATGCTTTTGCTTAAGTTCATTTCAGAATACGTTCTGGAAATAAAGCTGTAACATGAGGCCATGCGTTGACTTGGCCTGCAACGGCCTGCGACACCTGTGAGCTCCAAAGTTTAACCACAAATCTGGCAGGCCACATATTGTACTGTTTAAATGTTTACATACAGCTTTTAAATGATAAATCAGAGTTAATATAAAAACTATTCTCATTAAATGTCTTCACACACTCCAACACATTCTTTTTGTTCTCTACTTATATAACTCGTCCTAGATTTATTAAGAACAAATCTTTGCTCATCATGCTCTGCTTCTTCAGAGTGAACTCCTTATGCAAATCTTTGCAGGAAGCTTTTCTAATCCAGGCTTAAAGATCATCTTTCCACCCTATGCTGTAGCTTCCCTAATTTTACTGGTAAACATTTACCAGTGATTTTTGTCCCTGACCTCAGTCCAGTTGTTAGATCAGCTAACTTATGGACATTAACTGAGAGGAACAGGAAGCTCCTTATTCTCATGCCTGACCTTTCATTTTGGCGTCTCCGGGGCTTCTGTGTCCCAGCTGGACTCCGTTCTCCTGGTGGTGCTGGTCGTTGATGGTCATGTTGGCTAAGGAGGTGCTCATGGTGTCTCCAGAACTGTAGCTGTTCGAGGTGTTATTCACGTAGTCCATTGCCAGTTGCAGATTAGGCTGCAAAAGAGCAGAACCCAAAGCAATGCATGAGGATCAGGACAGAGTCCAGCTGTCCCGGACGTGTCAGATTACCGCTTTCAAATATGTGACAAGTTACGAAGTATCTGACGAGGACAAATGACTGGTTTTAAGGATTAACTGTGATAATGGCGTACTTCACAGACACTTCTTCTTCCGGTGTGCGGAGTCCAGTCAGTCACCACAAAACATAAACAGATACTGTCTGTGAAAACCAGTTATTTATACATCCTGATGTGGGGTTGGCGCTTCATGTTACAGCCTCACAGATAAAAATAGGCCCCCCTGCTCTTGTCCTCACTGTGAGACGCTGCACTTCCTTAAACCACCGCTGACCTCTGTTCAGTGTGTCACCTCAAAGGAGCTAAATCTCAGCACCTGTGTTTCATTCACTGACAGGCTCCAGCACAACAGGAGCCATCAAGATGCTAATACTGCAGGAAACAGACCTGACACGCCCGCTCAGCTGGCAAGATGTGTATTATGTCAAGTCTCATAAAAAGAGGATTACACACCAGATTAAAGACATGCCTCTGGTTACATCAGCCGTTTTTAGTTTGAATCCTATTATTTTCACTGCCTTCACACACACACACACACACTGAGCCAGTGCAGGCAGCTAATGGCATAATCAGTCTGGGCATCCAAACAGCTCTGTCCCTGTGTTGATGCAGATTTACCAGCTTCTGCTCTTGATTTTCACCCCCATGCCCACTTTGGCACATAAATGTGACTGTTTAATCTCTGAGGTTCCGCTTAAGCGCCGAGTGACCTAAAGATAATACTGGACACTAACGGCATAAACTAGAATTAATATACAATATGAAAATAGTTGATAAATCTGCTTTGTTCACAAGAAAGTAATGTTTCTATAAATGTACAACACCTGCAGTAATGAAAAAAATCCAAGAACTGTGCTCAAATCAAACTATGAGGTACCTGTACTTGACATAACGATGTACTATACAGTGAAAGCAAGAGACAGGAAAGAGCTGTGACACTGTCACTGTCAAAATGTTTGTGCACTTTACAAGTAACAGCATTTTAGAGAATCTGGTTTAATATTTGAGGAAATATTGTACTGTGTACTGCATGTATCTGACAGTTTGTTATTTTACAGAGTAAGAT